TGAACTATGAACCAAAGGCTGAGGGGCCCCCAACTGGATCAGTCCCTCTGAATAGGTGAGACAGTTGATTGGCTTGATCTGTTTGGGAGGCATCTGGGCAGTGGTGCCAGGTCCTGGGCTCGCTGCATGAGATAGCTGTTTGAAACCTGGGACTTATGCAGGGACGCCTGGCTCAGTTTGGGAGGAGGGGACTGGACCTGCCTGAACTGAGTCTATCAGGTCAATCTCAGTCCTCGGGGGAAGGGGGCAGGAATGGGGAGAATAAGGGAATCTGTGGCTGTTATGTAGAACTGAATACTATTGTAAAATAAAAGAAAAATAAAATAAAATATTTGCAAATATATATTAAAAAAAAAAAGTAAGAACTAGAGCTGGGCAAAGAGCTCAGTGGGCTAAGGTGCTTGCTGCCAAGCAAGCAAGATGGACGCAGTTCAATTTCTAGAAAACTGAAGAAGAAAATGATGGAGGGGAGGCCTGACTCCAGCAAGCTGCCCTCTGACCTCTGCATGAGCACTGTGGCACAGCCCCTGTCACACATACACTAAACACATTTTCTACCAGGAGCTTCAAAGTCAGGCTCAAGCACAGCAACAACAGAAGGACGGGACCCTGGACACACTGGGAGAACTGCCATCTCCCAACAGCTTTAGTGCAGGGGCCGACATGCTCACACCCTGCTGCTGTGGCTCTGCTTGCCCCACCACCTCAGCACCCAGATGCACTGCTCTCCCTCTTCAAGCTTGAGCCTGGAAGCCTGTGTGTCCCCGCAGGCCCCACCTGAAGGCTATGTTCTTCTAAAGAACTGTTCAGTAGGTAAAGCCTGACGATCCACATAAAGGCAGAAGCAGAGAAACAACCACACAAAGCTGTCCTCTGACCTCCACACATGGGCTGGGACGAACACCCCCATATCCATCTTATACACACGCACACGATGATGATAAATAATAAATTTTAACTTTTGAAGAATAAAGTCATGTTAAATAAACAAAATGGAGTACGGTGCTTAGGAATAAGGATCAGCTGCTAGAGTGCTTGCCTAGCATGTCTAAAGCCCTGGGCTCCGTCCTCAGCATCACACAAACCAGGTGTGGTGCCGCAGGCCCAGAATCCCCGCACTCAGGGTATGGAAACACAGGATGAGGAGCGTACAGACATCCTCTGCTACTTTTTTATGTGTGTGAGAGGCAGAGACATATGTGCAGTCCTCAGGGAGGACAGAACAGATCCTCCGAGTGGAACCACAGGAGGCTGCGATCCACCTGACATGAACGCTGGAAGCCTACCTTGTGTGCTCTGGAAGAGCAGGAAACACTGTCAACTGCTGAGCCATCCCTCTGGCCCCATCAGCTACATACTGAGTTTGAGGGTAGCCTGGGCTACATAAGACCGTCTCAAAAAATAAATCAACAAAATCTCCAAAACAGGTAAATTAGCTCACCTGGGATGTTGCTGCAAGGAACCCAGCAGCAAGCTCTTGGTCTCTGGTGCTCACAGAGGGAAGACCTGGACCCGCATGAAGAATGGGCAGTGCTGAGCAGAACACACAGAAGGATCAGGGCTGTCGTCCGCCAATTCAAAAGCACCCCACCCCAACACACACAATCTCAGAACCACAGATCACAAAGAATTACTTCAGGGCCAGGCAGTGGTGGTGCACACCTTTAATCCCAGTACCTGAGAGGCAGAGATAGGTAGCTATGAGTTCAAGGCCAGCCTGGTCTACATAGTGAGTTCCAGGATAGCCAGGGCTACATAGAGAAAGATGAAATATCAAAAAGAAGAAAAAAAAAGAAAAAAAGAAAAGAAATGGAAAAAATAAAATAAAAGGGTTACTTCCAGACCATAATGACCCATAGCCAGGAGTCTGGGTGTCCCCTGCCCTGTTCTGGCTGAGAGGACTGTCCTAGCCCTGTCCCCTCAGAGTTAGACACACTCCAGAGTCACTCATGAGGACAGCTGAGACTCAGTAATAATGAGTCTATCTCCCCACTTATCATCAGCATAGTTCCTAGTGGTTTGGGAAGGGATGAGGGGAAGAGAGAAAAAAATGATGAGAACATGATTCTAGATGTACCCCGAAAAAACCAGTCCAGGTGTAAAGAACCATTCCACCTGCTTCCTCCTGGGGTAGAGGAGGCAGCCTGGAATTCAGAATTGTACCTTCCCAGCACCTACTTAGCCCAGTGCTGAGTTTCTGAAGAGACTGGGAGTGGACGGGACCTCCCATGCTCATCACCTGCATCTTACCTTGCTCCTGGAAGGCCTGTGTCCCGTCTCCAGGGCCCTGGCTCAGCTGTTCTGTAGTGCTTGGGCCTAAGCTTTGAACTCCGTCCCCCTGAAGAATCCCCCACTCAGGTTTGACTTCTACGGGCCCCAAGTGGATGCTTGATTGCCAAGATCCTCCGCCAAGGGCTGTGACCAGCTGCTCTCCCTGGGCATGGCATGGAACCTAAGGAGAAGAATGCCCATACCAATTAGAAGGAGACCTGCTGGAAGCTGTTAAAGAGAGGGCTGAATTAAAACAGAAAGGAAGCAAGGCTGGGGGTGTGACTCAGCTGGTAGCGTGCTTGCCTGCATGCAAGAAGCCCCGAAGTCCTGGGTTCCATCCCCAGCACCACTTAAACCCAGTATGGTGGTCAAGCCTGCAACCCCAGCACTCAGTAGAGGGAGGAAGGTCTCTCTCTCTCTCTCTCTGGGTTCAAAGCCAGCCTGGTCTAATTAGTGAATTACAGGCCAACCAGGGTTACACAGTAGACCCTGCTTTTTTTTTTTCTAAAAAAACCAAAAAGGTAGAAAGATGAGAGGGAAAGGAGAGAAGGAAGGAAGGAAGGAAGGAAGGAAGGAAGGAAGGAAGGAAGGAAGGAAGGAAGGAAGGAAGGAAGGAAGGAAGGGAGGGGAGGTATAAGACAGAGAAGGTAGGAGGATGAGGAAAGAGAGCTGCTGGCCCCCTCCACATGAAGAAAGCTAAACTCTCCCAAAATGAAGTAGCAAATGAGAAAGCTGCTCTACAAAAAGTGGAACACTGCAGCGACATTCTCATGGTACGCCCTTCCCTTCTCTCTCTCTCTCTCTCTCTCTCTCTCTCTCTCTCTCTCTCTCTCTCTCTTAGTTTTTAATACTGATCATCAACTTGACAGGTTCTGGAGTCACCTGTGAGACGAACCTCTACGCATACCTGTGAGGACATGTGTCTAGATTTGGTTACCTGAGGGGTCACCTGTGAGACGAACCTCTAGGCATACCTGTGAGGACATGTGTTTAGATCTGGTTAACTGGGGTGGGAGCCCCACCTTAGTCCAGGTGGCGCTATCCCATCGCTGACGTCCCACAAAGAGTCAAAGAAGAAGGTGGGGGCTGGAGAGCTCGGCACCTGAGAACCCACACTGCACGCGCAGAGACCTCAGCTTGGTTTCTAGTGCTCACACCAGCAGCTCACAACCACCTGCAGCTCCAGCCCAGGGGATTCACTGTCTTCTGTGGGTACCTGGATACATGTGCACGTGCTAACACAGAGACTCACAATAAAAAGAAGCAAATGTTTCCATCTTTGCAACAAAAAGGAGAAAGTGAGCTGAGCACCAGCATTCACACTGCTTCCTGAAGGTGGATATATGTGGCAGTTGTCTCACGCTCTTGCCACCACACTTTCCCAACAAACTGTGAGCCAAAATGTGAGCACTTCTCTATTAACTCCGGGCCTTACGGTATTTATTTAAGGAGAGATGGCACCTAAGAGCACTGATTGCTCTTCCAGAGGACCCTGGCTCAATTTGCAGAACCCACAAGGAAGCTACTAACTAGCTCTAACTCTAGTTCTAGGAGACCCGGATTCCAGAGGCACTGCATGCACATGCTGCAGATATACTTGCAGGCAAAACACCCACACACATAAAATAATATATATATATATATATATACACACACACACACACACATATATTTGAGATAGGGTTTTTCTGTAGTTTTGGAGCCTGTTCTGGTACTTGCTCTGTAGACCAGGCTGGCCTCAAACTCAGAGATCCGCCTGCCTCTGCCTCCCGAGTGCTGGGATTAAAGGCGTGCGCCACCACTGCCCAGCTTATAAAATAAAAAATGTAAAGACATTTAAAATGTCTTATTTTTTTTGCATGTGCATGTGTGTGGATGTAGAGGACAATGGGGTGACCTCAGTGTCTTCCTTTATCACTCTGGGCCTTATGTGATTAGGCCAAGCCTGTCACCTGAATTCTTGTTTGCTGATTTCACCGTCCACCAAGCCAGCTCACGCAGAGGATGCCGACTCCATCTCCTGAGTGGATTACAGGTGGACCATCATGCATACCCAGCATTTGTGTGGGAGCTGGAAACCCAACTCCAGTCCTCATCCTTTCATAGCAGATGCTTCATCCACTGAACTGTCTCCCAATCCCTAAAACTGTCTTGTAATACACCCCACTCCGCTCCTCCTAAAACTCCTTTTTGTAACAAACTGAAGCCCAAATCTGGTTAGCCTGAGCGGAGATTCCCAAAGGTGAGTAAGGAATCTCAGGGTGACAGAGTGGGCTTGTGCCTGAATCCCAGTTGCCACCGGCAGGAGGACAGGCATTAGCCTCTTCCCCAAGAGCATGCAGAGCTCACAGTGGACCCGGAAAACAATCAAAACTGCTTTTGTTGGATTTGAGGCTCACCAGGGGGTCCCTGATGCCCAAACCAAAGCATCATGCCCTCCTGCCCATAGATATCTTCCCTAGAGATGGCTCTTTAAAAAAAAAGTCTTCTACATGTGTATATGATGTATGTGTGTGTGTGTGTGTGTGTGTGTGTGTGTGTGTATGTGCGCTCCTATGTGTGAGTACAGGCATGTGTGGAGATCAGAGCCCACCTTCCAGTGCTGGTTCTCACCTTATACCAGGGACTCCTGCTGATCACTGCTGAGGATGCCTGGCTACCTGGACCTGCAAACTTACGGGGCTCTCTTTTCTCTGCCTGCCACCTCACCACTGGGATTACACATGCACACGGCCTATGTGGCTTTTCCATGGGTCTTGGAGATCCGAACCCGGATTCTCACACTTGCGTGGCAAGCGCTTCACCCATGAGCCATCTCCTCACCCCGACTCTTCTTACTAAAATCGCAGCCACTCTCCAGAAAGGCCCTTGGGGGCTGGGGGATGATGGAGCAGGCTCTATGTCTCATCCACTCCCAACACTTCCTTAAGCTCTCCATTTTGATTCCCACACCAACCGTGCAAGGCCTGGACACCCTCTTCTCACCCACCGCCTTGGCCTCAGGTGTGCTCTCCATCAGGTCCTCCACCATGGCCACCAGAGCCTTGCCGCTGTCTGGGCTGTGATCTCGGATCCAGGTGTAGAACTCTCGGGGCAGGATGGTGAGGAACTGCTCCAGCACCAGCAGCTCCAGGATCTGCTCCTTGGTGTGCAGCTCAGGC